TATATAATAAAATACCTATTATTTTTAAAAATTTAAATTAAAATACAATAAAGCTATATACTGAACCTTAAAGCATAAGAGAGAAGAAAGAGGGGGAAAGATCAGCATTTGTTTCTATGTAAGTTTTATCTTACCTTTAAAAGTTCTAGATTTCCCTCCTTTGCCATGGGCACGCCCTTTTTTACTGGATACCCCATTCGAACGGGAAGAGGTACTGCAGAGGGTTTAAATGGTGCTGCAACAGGGTAAACACTAGCCCAGTCCTGGTCAACAGCCATTTTCTCTGTCCTAGGAGGTAGTGCCTAAGAAATAAAATCTTTTAGTATTTCAAATATAAATACATTCTTTAATTTTTAGAGAATTTTAATTTTAAAGCAAAAAGCTACAATTACAAGAAACAGGAGCAAAACTGCAACATATGTAAAATCTGACCTCCCACAAAACTGCTGCTATCCAAATTTAAAAAACACTAAATCTACCTAAGTATCTCTGCACTGTTTCTTTAAACCCTTTGGCAAGGATGTCCTTTAATATCACATTTTCTTCATTAAAAATTTCTTTAACTAGACTTTTAGCAAAATTTGTACATTTTGCTTATGAAGAGACGAATTAATATATTTTGAAATAGTTTTTCAAACTTCTTTGATGGAAGTCAGTAGTACATGAGGGCATTAAGTACTCGGAAGTAAAGAGAAAAGGAAAAAAGAATAATTAAGGTTAAACTGATTGAATAAATACATATTGAGAAATTATATGTCTCCTAGGCCCAGAGAAAAACTAGTACTTGATAGCTTAGTCAATCATATTCACATTTATTTTTAACGGAATCAAATACTAGGGGATTGTCACACGCAAAAGTAGGGTTTATAGTGGCAAAATTCAGCCATGCCCCATCTATGCAGTATTAAAACCACTGTAGTCAACGTCCTAGAAGCAGGTAATACTCCTGAGGAAATGTCTGCTCTTGATGATTGTAATTTGATACCATTTAACTTCCAACTAATGTGTCTTTGTTCTGATGCTATGCTCACCAACTGACCTTACAGTTTAGATTCCTCCATAGAAGGAAGGAATCCAAATGTCCACAGCATGAGACTAAACTACTTAAGACTATGGCCAGGTGCAGCGGCTCACGCCTGTAATCCCAGCACTTTGGGAGGCCTGAGGCAGGTGGATCACCTAAGGTCAGGAATTCGAGACCAGCCTGACCAACATGGTGAAACGCCCCCTTTACTAAAAATATAAAAAAATTAGTTGGGTCTGGTGGTGTGTGCCTGTAGTCCCAGCTACTCGGGAAGGTGAAGCAGGAGAATCGCTTGAACCCAGGAGGCAGAAGTAGCAGTGAGGCAAGATTGTGCCATTGCACTCTAGCCTGGCAACAAGAGTGAAACTCTGTCTCAAAAAAAATAATAAATAAATAAACTAGTTATATTAATGCATAAGTCCCAGGCTGCAGGACTTAAGATAGCATTAGAAATTGTTCCATATTCTGGTTTATACACCTGTTTCCTAGGAGTTCCTAAGTAAGTCGACCTCTCAAAGATGATCCAGTCTCTGGGTACTGAAAAAAAACAAAGACTAACCTCTGCCAGGGCTATGGCAATCACCCAGCAAACATGACCTTGTGAAGTCTTCTCTGCCAATACCTTTCTGCCATGAATATCTGCCTTATTTTAGAACTCCAGAAACCATTAAGATAGTAGAGTATATGAACTTATTACCTTTCTTTGTGGCAGCCTTTCATTTCTGGATGTTCTTTCTGTTGTACATAAAAGATAATAAACAGAATTTTATAATGTCAAGTTAGTTAACATCAATCATGATCACATTATTCCAACACAATTTAAGGTATTCAGTAACATAACAACAAAACAAACCTTTTTTTTTTTTTTTTTTTTTTTGGTAAGCTCGGGGACCAAAATCATTTTAATGAAGACAAAAAACCAGAAACAGGGAGTCTCGCTGTGTCGCCCAGGTTGGAGTGCAGTGGTGTGATCTCGGCTCACTGCAACCTTTGCCTCCCGGATTCAAGTGATTCTCCTGCCTCAGCCTCCTGAGTAGTTGGGACCACACGTGCATCCCACCATGCCTTGCTAATTTTTGTATTTTTAGTAGAGATGGAGTTTCACCATGTTGGCCAGGCTGGTCTCGAACTCCTGACCTCAAATTATCCGTCTACATAGGCGACCCAAAGTGCTGGGATGACAGGTGTGAGCCACCGTGCCCGGACCCAGTAAGAAAAATTCTATAGTTATTTGAATATAATTGCTGATACAGTAAGCTCATCATCTAAAAAATGACTCTTACAGAGTCAAATAAGACAACTTTTTAACAAATAATTTCAATAAACAGTAATAAATATTATGACTACACATAGCAGGGAATTAAACCTAGTCAATTAACTGGTGTGATGGTAAATTTTTTTCTTTTTCTTTTTTTTGAAACAAGGTCATCTCACTCTCGCCCAGGCTGGAGTGTAGTGGCGCAATCTCAGCTCACTGCAGCCTCAAACTACCGGGTTCAAGCCAATCCTTCCACTTCAGCACCCCAAGTAGCTAGGACTAAAGGCATAAGAACATCCGGCTAATTCTTAGAGACAAGCATTTCACCATGTTGCCCAGGCTGGTATCAAGCTCTTGAGCTCAAGCAATCTACCCACCTTGGCCTCCCAAAGGGCTGGGATTGCAGGTGTGAGTCACCATGCCCAGCCATGATGGTTAACTTTAGGTGTCAATCTGACTAGATTGAGGGATACATAGATATCTGGTAAAGCATTATTTCTGGGCATGTCTGTGGGGGTGTTTCCAGAGGAGATAGGCATGTGGGTCAATAGGCTGAGTGAGGAATACCTGCTCTCAATGCAGGTGGGCATCATCCAATCAGCTGAGGGCACAGAGAGAACAAAAAGGCAGATAAAAGAAGAACATATTCTCTCTCTCTTCTGGACCTGGGACACTCTTCCTCTGCCCTTAGACATCAGAATTCCAAGTGCTCCAGCCTTTGGACTCCAGGACTTGTACAAGTAGCCCTCTGAGTTCTTAGGCCTTCAGCCTTGGTCTGAAAATTACATGGCTTCCCTGGTTCTGAGGCTTTCAGACTTGAACTGACATGGGCTTCCAGCTTGCAGACAACCTATTGTAGAGTGAGTCAATTCCCCTAAAAATCCCCTGTCGTGTATCTATATATCTACATCTACATCTACATTCTGTCTCTCTGGAAAACCCTGACTAATACAGTTGGGGAAAATCTCCTTAAGAAAGTGAACTTTAAGCTAAAACCTGAAAGATGAGCAGAATGTAGCCATGAAGACAGGCAGGTGAGAAAAAGTGTTTCAACAGAGCAAGAGCACATGGGAAAATCAAAGTGAACAAATTCAATATGGCTGAAATTTAAGAATAGGACAGAGAAACAGAGAAAGAGGAGGCCGAAGACACTTAACAGGTTTCTCAACTATAATGTATCCTTGGCAGAGCTTTTCTTCTTTTTTTGAGACAGGGTCTCACTCCTGTCACCCAGGCCAGAGGGCAGTGGTGCGATCACAGCTCACTGCAGTCTCGACTTCCCACTCAGGTGATTCTGCCACTTCAGCCTCTGGAGTAGGTGGGACTATAGGCATGCACCACCACACCTGGCTAATTTCTTGTATTTTCAATAGAGACAAGGTTTGGCCATGTTGCCCAGGCTGGTCTCAAACTCCTGGGCTCAAGGGATCCACAGGCCTCTACCTCCCACAGTGCTGGCATTACAGGAATGAGCCACCATGCCCAGCCTCTTGGCAGAGCTTTTGATTTTCTTCTTCCAGTCTTTCCAGCTCATATAAATGGAATCATCATTCATCCAACTGCTCAGGACAAAAACCTAACAGGATTTTTTAAGACATCCTCAAGCCTCACATCAAATCCATCAGTAAATCCTATAAACGCTTATCTTCAAGATATATTGCAAACACAACTACACCCTCTTCTCCACTTTTACTCTAATCCAAGTCACCATCACCTCATTTTTACTACTGCAACGGCCCCCAAACAGGTCTTTGGTTCCAACTTTTACCCCAGTAAAGCAGCCCATGATCCTTTAAAAATGCAAATCACATTATATATGTTCCCTGTTCAAAGCCTTCCAATATAAAACCCAAGCCAAAAATCCAAATGAAATGTCTACAAACTCTTGAGAGGGCAGATCATTACTTAACTAACTCTTTGACGTCTTATACTGCCACTCCACTCTCTCCTCTACTCACACTTCGCTGTTGTCACTTTGGCTTTCTTTCCGTTCACTGAACACACCCCTCAGCTTGTTCTCAACTTTTGGCCTTTGCACTTACAGTTCCCTATATCCCGAAGGCTCTTTCCCCAGATCTCTGCATGGCTTGGGGGCTCTATTCAAAAGTCACTCTCACAGAGATCTTTCCTATCTACCCTATGGCCAGTACTCCCCCACCAATCCATCATTCTCAATACTCTGCTTTATTTTTCTTCATAACTTAAACCCTATCTGACATCTTATTTAGTTGTTTGATTGTTTACATTCTGACTTCTCCACCTTGCTGTATCCCCAGTGAGGGTCTAGAACACTGCAGAGTATACAATAGGAGTTAAGTATTCCTAGAAAGAAAGAATGAAAAAGTAAAAATAGACAAGTATTAGAACTATGAAGAGCCAGTATGAAGCATTAATGAATTTATGCTTTATCTGAAAAGCAATGGGAAACTATTTGTGGATCTTGAACACGGGAGCAGCAAGACAAGATCTAAAGTTTGAAAACCTCATTTGACTGTTGTGATAATTCCATGTAGGAGAGCAAGAGGGGAAACAGCAAACGGAAAAGAAACTTGTAGAAATGAGATGGTCACCTGGACTAGGTTGTTAGTAATATGAGGAGAGTAAATTAGAGATATAACAAGGAGCAGCACAGGCAGGATCCGCTGATTGATTAGACTCACGCCAGCTGCTCCTCAACGCTCTGGTCACTCTAGCCACACTTCTATCATAGCACCTCTCAATACATAGCACTTCTCCGTTAATAAATCTGTACTTTCCGTGGCGGGGTGGCGCTGCTGCGCCCGCCGCGAGTACCCCCCGCCCCGCTCTGCCGGCCTCTGCGCGCCTGAGCGCTTTTCCTTCCGCCGGGGCCGCTTTTCCTTCCGCCGGGGCCGCAGGGCCTCATGGAACGCTCGGAGGGCGGCGGACGGGGACCCGTAGCGAGGGGCCCCGAGGAACGGCCGGCGCCCGAAGCTAGGGTGCACTTCCGAGTGGCGAGGTTCATCATGGAGGCAGGTGTCAAGCTGGGGATGCGGTCCATTCCCATTGCCACTGCTTGCACCATTTACCATAAGTTCTTCTGCGAGACCAACCTGGACGCCTATGACCCTTACTTGATCGCCATGTCTTCCATTTACTTGGCTGGCAAAGTGGAAGAGCAGCATCTGAGGATTCGTTATATCATCAACGTGTCCAACAGGTACTTTAATCCAAGCGGTGAGCCCCCGGAGTTGGACTCCCGCTTCTGGGAGCTCCGAGACAGCATTGTGCAGTGCGAGCTTCTCATGCTGAGAGTTCTGCGCTTCCAGGTCTCCTTCCAGCACCCACACAAGTACCTGCTCCACTACCTGGTTTCCCTCAAGAACTGGCTGAACCGCCACAGCTGGCAGCGGACTCCTGTCGCCGTCACTGCCTGGGCCCTGCTACGGGACAGCTACCACGGGGGGCTGTGCCTCCGCTTCCAGGCCCAGCATATAGCCGTGGCAGTGCTCTACCTGACCCTGCAGGTCTATGGAGTCAAGGTACCTGCTGAGGTCGAGACTGAGAAGCCATGGTGGCAGGTATTTAGTGACGACCTTACCAAGCCAATCATTGATAATATTGTGTCTGATCTCATTCAGATTTATACCATGGACACAGAGATACCCTAAGGCCCTGGCCCAGGTCTGCCCAAAGAGAAGCCCAGGATGGTCAGCTGCCTGGGGACACTACCACCACGTCGCATCATGGCTGGTCCCCAGAGGGCCAGCTGGGAGGACTGGTTGTGCTGCTGGAGAAGGGCTGGTGAAGGCGATGACATGCTGCCACTTTGACAGTACCTAGCAGTCGCGGTCCAGAAGATGATGGGAGCCGCGCCTCCAGCGGGCAGGCTGGGAGCGCACTATGTGCAGGTGACCCAAGGCAGCCACATCTGCTTTTGTCCTTTGAGAGGACTCTGACTACAATAGAGACATGACGTCAATGAAAGGAAAATCATGAAATAGATGAGACTGAATCCCTAGGGATTTTTTTTAAAACCAGATTTATAGCGAGAATGAATGTGCAACATGGATGAAATTTATTTTGTGTAATAAAATGTGATACTAATCAACAGAAAAAATAAAAAAATAAATCTGTATTTTCCACCAGACTCCTCCGGGGTAAGCACGCTATCAAGTATCCCTATAATCTCTGTCAAATGGAAGTCATCAACACCTGTTCAATGAAGGCCACCCATTTGATGGCCTGGAATTCAGGGCAGCAATTTATCCTAGCACTGCTGTATGCCTCTCTTAATGTTTGGGGAAATCCACGGTTCAACACTGCTGATGATCGATAAACAATACAGAACACCAGTTACCGGTGCCAGCGGCTATGGGCGGGGGCACCACAGGAGCAGGTTACGGGAAAGGGGGATGTAAGCTTTCTGAGCAAACGCCCAGAGCAGAAACAGGCTGCTAGCTAGGAGCCGGGCAACGCGGGCACGTCCACGGCTCTCCTATCAGGCTGGCCTGGAAGCGGATGCACCGGCCTCTCCCAGGCGGCACTGGCTTAGCCACCGCGGCAGCCTTCACAGGGCCGATATTCCGCCCTTGCACCTCCCCCAAAGCCCGGAGGCGACGAGACAAACACTCACGCAGGCCAGGTTTCCGGACCCGAGTGGCCAGGTACATGGCGGTGGAGAATGCACGCAGAGTCCTTGCTCTCGACTGCAGAGCCACCCATGCCGGGAGCGTGGCGGCCGCCATAGCTGCAAGGACGGCAAGCCGGAGGGGACACGCGCAGTTCAGCGTCAGGGGCGGGCCTGGGTCGGCTAAACGCAGGCTCCCTGGGCTGGCACCGCCCTAGGCTGGAGAAACAGGAAACACGTGGTTCTCCGCATTCACGGCAGAGTCAAATATCAGGAAGATACCCCCGAACAGAAAGAAGTAATGAAAAGAAAACAAAAAATTCCTTACCAATCGAGTCAATCAGTTCATACAGAATTGCAGATAAGGACCATAGGGATGGGGGAGATATGGCTCACTAAAGGCAGGCGTGGTCTGGGTGGAACCTCAGATGATCCAAGAGTCAGGCAGTCTACCCGAGGGACTCCTGGTTCTTTGTAATTGTTGCTTGTCTACATTTACTTGGATTAAAGAAATCATCAATTAATGCAAGTGATACGCGCTAAGGGGAGAGAAGCAGTATACAAAGCCAGACTGCTTGAGTTTCAAACTTGACTTCACCATTTCTGGAATGTGTGATCTTAGGCAAGTTAGCATAGTCAAATGTTTATGAACAGCATTGGCATACAGTGAACACCGCATGTGCATACCCTATAACTTTTAGCTATATACAGTTAGCTTGTTGTTAGACCAAGTTAGAATTACGAAAGTTAGAACTCGTCAGGCTTAGAAAATAAACCCTTAATGAACACTCTTATTTTCTTCTTCTTATTTTTTAAGACGGAGTCTTGCTCTTGTCTCCCAGGGTGGAGTGCAGTGACGCAATTTCGGCTCACTGCAACCTCCACCTCCTGGGTTCAAGCAATTCTCCTGCCTCAGCCTCTTGAGTAACTGGGATTACAGGCATGCAACGCCATGCCCTGCTAATTTTTCTATTTTTAGTACAGATGGGGTTTCACCATGTTGGCCAGACTGGTCTTGAACTCCAGATCTCAAGTGATTCACCCACCTAGGCCTCCCAAAGTGCTGGGATTACAGGTGTGAGCCACTGTGCCTGGAGGAACACTTATTTTCTGTGGTAGAATGGATGAACATGCAAGCCTTAGTAAAAATAGTCTCTATTTTCTCATTATTTTGTAAATGTTTTATTTATTTTAATTTGTTATTATTGTTGAGACAGAGTCTTGCTCTGTTGCAAGGCTGGAGCGTGGTGGCACCACCATGGCTCACTGCAGACTTGACCTCCCAGGTTAAAGCCATCCTCCTACCTCAGCCTCTCAAGTAGCTGAGACTACAGGCATGCACCACCACATCCAGCTAATTAAAAAAAATTTTTTTTCTAGAGGTAAGATCTCACTGTGTTGTCAGGGCTGGCCTCAAACTCCTGGGCTCAAACAATCCTCCTGCCTTGGTATCCCAAAGTGATTGGACTACAGGCGTGAGTTACCACACCTGGACTATTTTTTCTATTTGTAAATTTTCTGTAGAGTTGGGGGGGTCTCACTATGTTGCCCAGGCTGGTCTCGAACTCTTGGCCTCATGTGATCCTCCTGCCTTGGCCTCCTAAAGTGTTGAGATTACAGTCATGGATCTGGCCTGTTTTTCTATTTTGTCTCAAAGTGACAAAATTATAACAGTAAAAACAACTAGGAATAAATAAAACTGACTCTTGGTAAGCATGCAACCAGTAGAGCAGAGGTATACAGGTGTCCAAGAATATTCTATGGGCTTCCTGGGGAAAAGTTTTTTCAGGTGAACCTCTCTCCATTTAAATACTCCGAAGATAAGGTGTGAATGTACATATTATCTTATTAGAGTTCTAAAGTATTTTTATAAGTTACTGTTTTTCACCCACACTTTCATGGGAAAGAAAATCATTGCAAAATCAGGATATATTTTTTTTGTTCTATACAATGAAGTTCACTAAAACATTAAAAAAAAAAAAAAAAAAGCCATACATAGGTATTCAGTGTGCCATGGACATCAATCAGTAAGGTAAGGGAGGGAGATAAATAGCATGAGATGGACAAGTATTTGGAACAATCATCGTCTTCATCTTTTCTGGACTTTTACCATCCTGTTATCGTTCCAAAATAGCACAATGTATGAGTTCCCTAGGGGATTGGAACAAAGTACCGTAGACTGGATGACTTAAAACAACAGAAATTTACTCTCTCACAATCCTGGAGTCTAGAAAGTCCAAATCCAGGTGTCAGTAGAGTTGGTTCCTTCGGGAGGTTCTGAGGGAGAATCTGTTTCTTGCATCTCTCCTAGGTTCTAATGGTTGCTGGCTCTCCTTGGCATTCCTTGGCTGGTAGAATAGACACATCACACCACCTTCTGACCCCATATTCCAATGCTGTTCTCTCCTCTCCTCAAACTATTTTTAAGATCAAAAGCATGGTCTTTTTAATCAGATGGATGTGGGGTTTGATCCAGGCTTTCCTTCTTCATGATTTTGGACAAATCTACCTAACCTCTCTGAGTTTCAGTTTCAAGGAAAATGGGAGCAATAATATTTTTCTTAGGACAGTCGTGATTAAAGGCATAAATATAAATGGTGGGCATTGGCATTAAACTCAGGGTCAATGTAACAGCCTCTTGTTCTTGCAAGCTTGTATATTTTAATCAAGTGCAAGTTCTATACCATAGAAATTTAGGGACAAAAGGAGTACTATCATATTCATACTGTAACCAGCAGTAAATCTGTATGAGTCTGTGGCAACCTCAATTCTTGCCTGCTCAGAAGAAAGAATTTGTTCGAGGAGCATAAGACAGAAAGACAGACCAAAGCCAGTTTTAGAACAGGAGTGAAAGTTTCTTTAAAAAGCTCTGCAGCAGGAACAAAAGGAAGGAAAGCACACTTAGTGGTAAAGTGGCAGGCTGGACCCTGCACTCGCTCACTCGTGTGCTCCCTCCCTCAAGGGGCTGAGTGTGGTGGGCCTAGTAGACAGAGCACCCCTGCTGGGAGTCCAGCAAAGGAGCCAGGAAAAATCCTGCATCACTGCTTAAGATACATGAGCCCCAATCCTGGTTAAATATTAGAGTAACTTAGGAGATTTTTTTTTTTAATTATCTAGACTCCCTCTGAGATGCTGATTAATAGGTCTAGATGTGTTTGGACCACTAGGGTTTTGTTTGTTTTTTGTTTACTTTAAGTTCTTCAAGTGAATCTAATATTCAGGCAAGATGGAGAACCACTGGTGTCAGCTTTAACAAGGATGAAGTGGATATAAATCTATTAGCATAGAAAATTCTCCACAATATATTGTTAAGTTTTTTTAAATGCAGGTTATAAAGCATTTATGGATTGCATAATCTCATTTGTGCATTATTTTTTTTAATTTTTTTTTATTTGCAATACAAAGTCTGGAAGGGTCAACAGCAGATTTGAGGCAGTGGGTATGAGGATGGAGGAGACACTCCTGAAGACTTCACTTTCTCCATGCTGTACTTGAATTTTTATACCAAGCACATAGCTTTAAAAAAATTAAATGAGAATGCGGTGTTTTTAAAATCAACAAAAGCTTCACATTTTAATTTTCACCTGGAAAAAAACATGGTGACTCTGATTTATGGCTTTCAGCTGTTTATAACATGAATACTTAGAATTTGTACTAGGCTCTCTGAAATTCTGGTTAGCTTACACTTTAGTACAGAAAATGTTTTCACAAGCTTTGTCTCCCTTGAGTTTCAGTCATGTGCCACATAAAGATGTTTTAGTCAACCACTGTGCATATATGATGGTGGTCTCATAAGACTATAATGGAGCTGAAACATTCTTCTTGCCTAGTGACACTGTGGCTACTGTACTGTCATAGCACAATTAGTTTATTCTTTTATAAATTTAGTGCAGCTGAAGTTATAAAGTGAATAGTGTTTGTAAAGTCTATGGTAGCATCCAGTAATGTCCTAGACATTTGCATATACTCACCACTCACCGACTCACCCACAGCAACTTCCAATCCTGCAAGCTCCGTTCATTGTAAGTGCCCCATATAGATGTATCATTTTTTTACCTTTTATACCTTCTTTTTACTGTACCTTTTTTGTGTTTAGATATGTTCAGATACACAAATATTTACCATTGTGTTCCAGTTGCCTGTAGTATTGGCAAAGTAACATGCTGTACAGACTTGCAGCCTAGGAGCTATGCCACATAGCCTAGGTGTGTAGTAGGCTGTACTGTCTAGGTCTGTGTAAGTACATTTTATTACATTCCCAAAACAATGAAATTGCCTAACAATGCATTTCTCAGTACATATCCCCATTAAGCAATGCATGATATAGTTGAAGTAATTCCCATTTTACAAATAAGGAAACAAAGAGTTAAGCCACTTGACTCTGCTCTTATGAGCGTTGAAACTCAAATCCACATCTGATTCCAAGTTGCATGTTCTTCACGTCACCTCCTTCTTGACAGTGTATTTCACACAGCATT